AAGGCAAGAAAGACAAACACAACCTCAGACAAAGAAAAAATTTAAATGTTTTTATTAAACGTTAAAGAATAACAGAAAGATTTGGGCTGAAAAACATACAGAACACAATTCATGTCATGACGTACATTTAATTTGATCTTGTTTGTTAAACTCTTGTGAACAGAGCTCTCCTACAAGGCTGCCAGAAATACAACGGTTGATCACTTGAGAGAGGAAAAAAAGGTGGAACATTTTTCCAAATAAATCAAAAATACCAAAAGCTCATTCTTGCTTTTTCTCAAACACACATGCTAATGCAAGTGTGCATACATGCACACATACCACGCACATACAATTTTTGAAGCAAGAATAAAGGCCAGGGGACCAGTTAACTCAAAAGATAAGGCTAAGTTTAATTCATTGATAACTTACCAAAACCTTACTCAGAAGTAAGCCCACTGTGTGCAAAAATACTAGAGCATATACAATTGTAGCCTAATTTACATCTCACTCTAGCAAATAATGTGCAGTCTTAAATCAATGCAGCACTGAAATAACAGACCACATTTAAAGATGACGTACGTTCCTAACAATACCAGAGGATGGAAAAGCTGTGGCCTTCCTGTTTTAGCCAACTCTTTGCCATACTGGCTGAGGCTGATGGGTATGCAACATCTGCAAGACATCTGGAGGGCGACAGTTATCTGCAAGTTTCATAATGGATGAAATGGTTGGTTCGGGTAATCATTTACTGAGAGATCAGGAATGTTTCTTGCAAACACTTTGCCAGAATTTACACTGGCTTCTTGGTGCAGGTAACCATCAGTCCTTAAGCAGGTGCCTTCCAGAAATATTAGGGGTACTACGGACTTGCTAGCTGGCATGGCTTTGGGCTGGTTCAAAGTATGAGCAATATATTCCCATCACATTTGGGGAATATATTCCTCTCCCAGTTGGGAGAGGCTGGCAGATAGGATTTGGAAGAAGACATCTCTTATTCCAATGGCAGCTTGATTCACAAGCCAATATAGATCTAGCTATGTAATCTGAAATGTGCAGGCAGCTCTCAGGTTTCAGTTCTGATCAGTGGTCGCTGTTGGCCTTGCTCTAGATTCTGCCCATCTCTGGAGAATCCATCCTCATTTGCCCTGTGTTCAAGTCACAGCTGACCTACTCAGCTGTCCTCATTTATGGTGTTTCTTAACTAGTTTCTCTGTTTGTTCTTTTGAGAGAAGCTTACCATTTACCTGTACAGATTCACATGATAAAACTGAATAAACTAGCAGGCCAAGTTGAAGATCAAAATTGGAAGCAAACAAAAGCGTGTTTGGAGAGCAGATCAAGTGTGGGCATCTGGTTGCTTTGTTGTGTGTTCAAGGTGGTGTATTGTGTGTAACTATGGATTATTCACAGAAGCCACTGCATAATTTGACAATGGCTTCTATAATTCGATAGGGTTGTCCTGTCTGGAAATTAAGTGATCCTACAATGATAAAGTAACTGGTATTTCTAATATTAACAGCTCTGTATCCACATCTTTACATCTCAAAACAATTTGTGAAATTATATTTCTTTAATGTCACCATATCCATAATTGACTTAAAACTGTCTAGCCTGCAAAACATCTTTGTTAATTTGATTTTCCATACTGGCACCTCCAGACAAGACAAAATGATGAGTTAGACCATTAAAATATTTGGGATTTGGGGGAAATGAACAGAGTCTCTGTTCACAACTTCTTAAACTAGGCTTGTTTTACACTCAGTGAAAATTATTATCTTAATATTTATTTTTACTTTCACAACACACAAACTTTTAGAAAGAAATATTTACTGGCCAGTAGAGGATTGTTTATCCCCTAAAGACGATTACTCAAAGCTGAAATAATTGTCCAAAAAATCTATTAAAGTATTTAGGATACTGAGATATATTTTCAATCTTTCCAGAAAGTCCTCTAAGAATGGCAACATTTCTTTGTAATTGTCCAAAACTTTTGTTTAAATTACTTTTAATATAATGTAATCTTGTGTAACAGAAATGCACTTGTTTTGGTGAAAAAAGGGATCTGGAAAGATATATGGCACCGTAATTCGTTGAAAAAAGTGATCTAGAAAGACATGTGGCACCGTAATTAAAAAATACCTTTCCCTACCTTTCCTGTAATTCCCCAATTCAAAAAAGCACCACTTCAAGTATAATGAAAGCCAAGTATGGCTCAAGTAAGTCACATGGCTTTGCTCATTCTTGTATTCAACCAGTGAGAGAATGAGACTGTGCAAGAAAATTGAAACAACGGACCTCTAGAAGATGCCAGAAGGAAAGTAGTAATAATAAAGGAGAATATTTGTAGCTCAGGGTTAACATGAGAAAGCAGTAAGCATGAAGACAGAGTGTGGAATCTGTGCTGTCTAGATGTTGTTTAACTTGTTGGTCAGCATTAGCCAACATGTGTAAGAGTAAACCACGAGAAGCTATGTGGTTCCACAAGCAGAAAGACTGCCTTACAGAAAACTGTGGGCACCAAAATTGGCATAAGAGGAATTCAGTTGGGACAAGTGTGTCAAACAGGATACCAGGGTAGGGAAGGAGCAACTAACCTGGCCTCTTGTCTAACGTGCAAAATGATTCTTACTGCTTCTAAATCAAACTCCCTTTCTAAACCTTTCTAAACCTGGAGAAGTACACAGAGCTACACTGCTAATCACCTAAAAGAGTAGCAGCTGGCTGGGAATTGTGGATGCTACAGTCCAATGCAACTAGAAGTCCAATATTTGGGGAGGTACCTGAAGCAGAGAGCTTACCTGCTCTCTCTCTTACCTGTACTGAGTTGAAAAATAGGGCTTCTGTTTTAGTTCTGTTAAGCTGTGCATTGGGAGAGGTCTGGGCAGACACTCCAGCCTTCTCAGCTGTCTTTTCAAAGAAACCTGCTTCAATCTGCAAGAATTATACGTATCCAAAACTTTAACCGTGGATACAAAACCTCACCACGGGATAGAAATCTCAAAAAGGATTGATGTAAGCTCTGTGAGCATTATTATTATTCATGCTGCCCAATCCCCAATGTATCTGCACCCCGGTGACAGATGTCACTTTTGTCCCAACCAATTAATTGCATTTTTTAAAAGAACAGCTGAGCTGTATTTGCTCAGGAGAAATTTGAAAAGACTGCAGCAGACATGCAGAAAACATTCTAGAGTCCTGCCTATCTCTATAAGGCCCCAGCCCCTTTTGCATGGAAGTTTACATGAGGTTGGAAGAAATTCTACAGGCCTTTATGTGGAAAGGGGGATGTGCATAAGCCTTTTCATATACGGGCAGTTGCTAAAGTGGGGTACACTAAGAAAAAGAGAGCCTTCTATTGCACCCAATGGGATCCTTCCAGAAGGAAGCAACTGAGCCCAGTGACATGGATCACTCTCTAACTGAAAACACAAAACTATGTTGATGTGCCAGTGGCAACCGTACAATATCATCATTTTTTAAAAAAGCCCTAAAAGCATTTCTTCGGTATTCAATATTCATGAATATATAAAGAGATATATTTTTGTCATTAAAGTGAAATAATCTAGTTTTTTTAACCCTCTCTTTGCTAAAACATATGATATATATCTATCTTATTCTTTTTCCCAAAATACAGAATCAACATTTGTCCTTGAAAAATACTGTACAGGAAAAAAAGCACACTCTAAAGATTCCGTATAAATTTTATACATTTTATAATAATCAATTTCTTTTGGTCTTCAGGAAACATTTAAAAGAACTGAATTAACCATAGTATGACAACAACAACACTTTTCAATATATATATCTGCATCTCTTACATTCATTTCCTCCCCACCCTCCAAAAATACTTTATATAATATAGCATAAGTTTAGAAACAAATCATAGCTGGAGAAAAAACAGGAGAATCTTTGAAAACAATCAGCTCATCATACAATCACAGCAGCATGCCAAGGCAAAAAAAAAAAAAAAACCCTGCAAATGTGACTTCTAACTGAATCAAAGCCATTTGAGGGGGAAAAGAAGAAAAACCCAGCAGGTGGGAAATCTATGGAAATGATATTGCACACAGTAGACTAAAAAGCTGAATTCAAAGTCTTTCCTAAGAAATAAGTATTTCAGAATGTCTAAGGGAGCTTCTTAGTCATCCAGGTCATGATTGACCCAAAAGTGTTTTTTCCAAAGGCAACTGGGCTTTCCTGGTTTTTTTCCTTGAAGACATTTTGCTTCTCATCCAAGAAGCTTCTTCAGTTCTGTTCAGTTCTTAAGATCTGAAGAAGTTTCTTGGATAAGAAGGGAAAATGTCTTCAAGGGAAAACAAAGAAAGTCCAGTTGCCTTTGGAAAAAGCACCTTTGGGACAAGAATTTCAGAAATTGAACATCAGTGGAAATAAAAAAATACAAGTCTACTCAAACTCCAAAGAGAGTGTAATGTAGGCCTTTTTTTATTTTGGTTTCCAGTTCTCTGGTCAGTGAACTATCTTGATTTTTGTATAGAGTTTCATCCTGACCAAGCATGGCAATCAGCATCACTTCTACACACCAAGGACAACACTGGACTCTTTGGGTGATGGGCCAAAGGCAAGCATCACTTGACCCTTGACCCCAATAGTGGATTGATCCAAACTCCTTCAGTTATGCCAATCGCAGATTGGTTAAGGGCAAGGACTAGGATCTGTACAAAAAGCAGCAGATGTTAACAAGAGCAGCTTGACCATCAAAAGCAGACAAGCTCTCTCCAAATTCAAAAGCCCTGTGAACTGAGCAGATTGGAGAAAGATTTGCAGAAGCAGCTTAGCAGGTCATTAGCTGAATTGACACCCTGAATTCCCCCAAAATTTAACTGACAGCTTTTAGATTTCCACTTGCTGGTCGCAAAGTATAAAATAAATCAGATGAAAGATAAAGTTAACCTGCTCAGTTCTTGATAAGATTGAAACAAGCATTTCAGAGTTGGAGTCTGTTAACCTTAGGTGTTTTTGCACACCTGTATAATTTAGTGTTGTGCCCTGCCCAAAAATTTAATTCACCTAAAGCAGGAATATGCTTTGGCCTTATCCGTACAGTATGCATGGATACTGTACAGACATCTGATGAACATGTTTTTGCTTGTCTGGTTAGGGGTCATTTTTAGGCAAACTATGAAGAAATCTTTAATGTTTTAGGAAAAAAGCGCACTAAAACAGTATTAGGGTACCAAAGTCATCCAATGCCCACGAGAAATATTTTAATCTGTACAAGAGAATTACTGATTATGCCTAGGGGATGCGGTCTATTTATAATTTTAAAGCAATGAAAGGAAAGTTAGCTATCCCTTATTTCTGTACAAGGAGGATATAGAATACATAATGAATCTGAAGATCTATTTTATTTACCAAAATGTAAAAACATACAGTAAATGAAAACCGAAACAAAATAAAAAGGCGAATCTATAAATTAGTATCTCTGCAGTATAGCATGAATATCAATTGTGCATAATTATCAGTAAGTTTACACTGCCTGATGTGCCTTATTGAAATAACAAAGCAAAAACAGCTTTTTCTTCTTTCTCTTGTTCTTTCTCATTACCAGGGTGCTTTTCTTTCATTTTCTTTCCCAAGTTAAATCAAAAGAATGGGATAGGATAAGACAAAAATACAGTTTAAGCAGCACTGGAAAATATATACATACATATCTAGATGCATGTATTCCATAAAAAGTTTATTATGGCCAGTCTCAGCCAACCCAACCCTACAAAGAGGGTTTCATAAAAACACAGGAGCCAAGGCAGACATGCACACTTATTCACAAGCATACCTGCACGGGTGTGCACACGCACACACGCACATGCATACACAGAGGTTGTACACTGGTTCTGGTTCTGCTTTCTGTTAAAGTGCCCATGACTGAAAAGTTGGTTTGGGTGAGGTGCTATCAAACAGGAAACACACTGTCCCATCTATTTAAATGCCAAACTACAAAATAAAATTAAAAAAAAAATAAAAAGTAGATGGGAAGAAAAGAAACGGGGATGGGGGTGGATGGGAGGGAGGGTAGGAGGCCATTTAGAGAGGACCATGCCGGGCTTCATACTTGACAAGCACGTTCTTGCATTTGCCCAATTCTTTCCGTAGGTCAGCCACCTCCTGGCGCAGGGCCGTATTCTCCTTTTCAAGGAACGAGGCACGAATAGCAATCTGGTTTTCCTTCAGCCTTCGGGCATCTCTGGATCGCTTGGCAGCCATGTTGTTCTTTCTACGTCTTGCCCAGTATTTGTCATCCTGCTCATTAATCACAGAGGAAAAGAAAACCGGTGTTAGATTTCAGTAGACGAATAGAGGTCTATAAGGCGTCAGCCGGGCTGTAGGTATTCTGTGTGTTTAACTCAAACACTGTTGTGTTGAAAAGCAAGTGCAATATGACACTTGCAGGGCTGGGATATCTTCTAAAACAGAAATAGATACAAACTGCCTATCTACTTGTACAGTTTGTATTTCAATGCTTGTTTTTAATAGATGGATGGATGATAGAAAGAAATAGATGTTAATAAATGAGAGAGAGAGGGAGGGAGGGTCAGGGGTGGGATTCTACCAGTTCGCACCTATTCGCTAGAACTGGTTGTTAACATTTTAAGCAGTTTGGAGAACCGGTTGTTAGAAGAAATTACTGGCCTAATCCTGTAAGGAAGGCAGGAAGGAGACATTCTGGTGTTGCTTACAGAAACTGCCTCTCTGTTAACCCTTATTACATTCTTGGTAGGACTAGACTTCCTCTCTCAGGAATGTCTCTGGAGTTTTTTTTTCCTCCTTTGCTGGTACTTTGCTTGTGGGGAATGACCATTCAAAGTTACAATGGCACTGAAAAAAGTGACTTATGAACGTTTTTCACACTTACGACTGTTGCAGCATCCCCACAGTCATGAGAGGCCAGGTGAGGAAATGCATGTCTCGATGTGAGTGATGTTGAGTTGACCACGCCCAGCTAGTCACATGACCACCAAGCCATGCCCACCAACTAAGCCACACCCACAGAACTGGTTGTTAAAAAATTTGAATCCCACCCCTGGGGAGGGTGGATGGGTAGATGATAGAAATAAATATGATAGATGGATAAAGATGAATAGATAGATAGATGATAGATAAATAGATAGATAGATAGATAGATAGATAGATAGATAGATAGATAGATA